GATTTGCAATTGTGTCACAGTGATACCTTCATTTTTTAAAACGGTTGAATAAAAAACCCACACAACTATGTTTACGACATGCAAATGCATCACAGTGATGCCTTGGTTTTAAAAGGGTTGTAAAAACGCTAATTTCTAATAATTTTTTTTAATTTCTTTTCTATTACTAAGTTAAATTCATTTTTTCATTTACATATGTTCTGACTAAATAAATTTCTAAAGAGAAAAATAAACTCCAAAAAGAAAAAACATAGGCATTTCGCTGATTTTTTCATGTAAAGTGCAAAACCGGCGATTTTTTGAAATGTTTGTATGGTGAACCCCCACGGGGGGTTCCAGGGGGTGTGCCACTGGCATCGGTGGGTCGGGCCTCCAAAGTTAGTGGGGGTCGGTCAAACATTTGGACTCGATTGGAGCACTCTAAATGGGTCAAAGTGGGATTTTTCAAAATTTGCCCCTACCCAAAAGTTCGACCCAAATTGGGGGACATCAGAATTCGTTTTAGAGGTATGGTTCCTTCGGCAAAGTTTCTTATTTTGATCCCTAGAATATGATTTTCACAGAGCAATGGGCGATTTTTTTGCCTCCCCACAAATCGACCCGGCCTAATGCATGTACATATGTATGTGCAATGGTAGTACTTCTGGTCGTAGCAAAATACTTGAAAAGTCTGTTGCCGTGTTCTTGTTAGTGCATTCTGCTTGAAATGTAAATGCAATGACCTGTGTCGGACTGTCCACCACCCGTTATCATTGCCGTGTTTGCCTGCGATTCTAAGGATTCACTATACGGCGATTGCTGGACATGTGTCAAGGTTTCTTCATTCCGCGAATTTCGCAGACTTATGTAAATACGTGTCTCCCTTTTTGTTCAATTTAATAGTCTCAAATTACAAGCTACTTTTGTGGCACATGTCAGGCAGGTCAAGAACAGGGCAAAGCAACAGGAAGGTAAAAACCAAAAATTCTTTGTAGTTATGATATATATTGATGGTTCTCTCCAGTAACGGCACAACTCAAAATTTCATGTTTTTGAGATATATATCAGATTAGGTTTATAAATAAGTATATTTTGCTGTGGCAAATCAACATAGGCTTAGTTGTTACCAATCCGGCAGAGGCGTAGTTTTGCCATTTGTCAGAAAACCGAAGTAGCCAACCCTTACTACTGAACAGTGGCACATTTCTCACATTTATCGTGAATATTGACATAAGTCAAAAACTCTCGATAGGTTAGTCATGCTTTTATGTGAAATAATGACACTTTTCGTTTTGTGCCGTTGTTTGGCGTTATTACTTATTTCGTATTATTGCATTCCAGCACTTACTAAATCTTTAGAAAAAGTCATTTGTTTTTTGTTATTTTATACTACCTATATCCCGAAAATGAAAGTTATATGTATCTGCAAATCATAAGTTGCTCAAAATCTACCCCAAAATAAGCCCATATTTACCGTTGTTTCTACGACAGACACCGAATTGGTTACTTACAAAAATTAATCTGTCGATAAGTTTGAAATTTTGTCTTTGAAAACTCACACTTTTTTTTTTTGAAATCGCTCCATTAGCTCTCTTGCAATAAGCGTTTTCGTGAAGCTCTAAAAATTGCAACTACATCATTTGAGCATAGCCTCCATATCGAAACGTAAGACGTATTCTACGTCAAAATATCTCCAATTTTCTTTTTAATATTTTTATTGAGCTTTGTACCACGATTGTTTATTAGGAAAAATTGAAAAAGCAACAAAGTCTAAGCGGTAGAAGTTATAGCACTATTTCGGAGATCACCACATCTCCTCATCAGACTTCTTTTTCTAGACTTCAGCAGGAAGGTAGTGGAAGGTAATTGTAATTGTCGAATTACTTTGTATGGAAGAACTTGCGTGAAAAAAAATTACCAAAAATCAATGCGATTTTCTAGCGACTTCAAACTTGCACTTTGTTATACTATATTTGAATGGGCTATAAAACTGCATACTTAGAATTTTTCTAAAAAGTCTGAATAAAAAGTTGCAAATTAGTGTGCAAATTTAATGAATTTTCCTGAGTTTTGCACAAAGTTTAGAGATTTTATTATTATGTTTTCTGGTGTAGAATGAACAATATTCTTATAAAAAATTATCCAAAATAAATTAGAATAAAGAACTTTGTATATATTGCGAAAAATTCACTGTGCCAATACTTCTGTTCGGCACTGTATGTATACGTACGACGAGAGCACATCTCAGTGTAACAGGTATTTAACTTAAGACAAAATAGCGAAAATATGAATACAAGAGACTCTTAAAGTTGCTTTTATTCAAAGTACTACGGATAGAGGCTGGAATAGCGTTCCATATACGAATAGCGTTGACAAAAAATAGCCTTGCAGAGCTGAGATAGTTATAGCTAGGTACAATTAGGTCACTTACACGTGTTGATTTTGGAAATATTAATTTTTCATAAAGGTAGCCGGGAGTCTTATCAATCATAAGACGAAATAGGAATATACAATTTCTAGCTTTCAAGTAGTCAGAGATTTCACAGCCCAGCAGGCTTGCCCTCCAGGCAGAGATATGCTCAAATTTTGCTATTCCAAATACATAGCGCGTAATATGGTTGAAAGCTAACTCAATTTTATGCGCTGATTGAGAGTCTAGCTTGCTATAAACTAGTTCAGGATAGCATATTATCGGA